TGTCTATCAGCAGCTGCTTTGTTCACAAGTTATTTACCAGCATATGCTGACATTTGCCAGCATCTGCCACTTTTACCCATAAAAACCAGAACAAAACCAATAATCCTATTGCTCCAAACAGCCCCACACAAGTCTGAACCAATACCATCCGAGAACTCCCCCAAAACTCCAAAAATAACATTTGTCTTTGAATAATTAAGTTTTTGCCCCCATACCTGTGCTTGTGATTATATTTGTTTCTTTGTCTTAATTTTAAAACATTTTGGGCAAACAATAAATGATGCAAACAACGATACTGTTTGCAGTTGAGGATGGACAATACCACCACGGTGGCTTACATCAATCGTCAGGTGGGGCTGCATTCACGCCACTTGCACACACTGGCACGCAGACTGACGTTTCCTCTCTCTGAGAGCAACACACGTTCCAAGCTCTTAGAATCAGGGAGCAGACCCATGGTCTGGCATCGTCCTGGGTCTTTTTGAGATGGGTGCCAGTTCAGAACATCTGTGCAGTAGCGAACTAGTCTTCGTCTCATACGTTTTTTACAGGCTGGACATCTCCGCTTCAAGCATAGCCCAAGTAGTACGTGGCACTTGGATAGGTGAGCACTGGCTATTTCTGTGACTGCTTGAGATAAACTTGTCTGACAATACGGGAGTCTCCATTTCCCATAGTGAGACACTGAAAGGAATGCTAGGAAAGAGAACTTTAGGTTACTTGCGTAACCACGGTTTTCAGAGTAGCATGACTGAGATGTCTCACCAGACAGCCATTCTTGCTGGGTTGAAGCAAAAAGAGGTGCTTATCTTCAATAACGACTATGTAATAGTGCAAGCAATTTAAGGATGAGTGGCTCTGCCCGACGTGGTCATTGCAACCACCAGCCAATCCGGTCTTTAAGTGATGATGTATGAACCCTGCTTCCGGGCCCAAACTACTCTGCGTTTAATAAGGCTGTTGTGGATTTAACATGTTTTAATGCTTTGTATTTTGTTCTATTTAATCTGAACAAGCCCCTAAAAACAGTCAGTGATCACTGTCGGCCTCTCTCGGTTTTTATTACTGCAAATCATTTTAAAGCTCAGTTTTAATACCCTTCCGATGTAACTACAGCCCATGCAGCAGTATATGAATGACTAACCTCGTATTGTGGATGGATTATCTCAGTTGTTCTCTTGACTGAAGTTTGGTCCGTTTACAACATCCTGCCATGCGATTGCATTTGTCCCTAACCATCGAGAACCCTCACGTTAACTTTTATCGAGTGGAAAAAAGTTAGCGTTCATCCTCCAGCTTCACTGCTTATATCATGCCTAACATAGCTGTGTCGCTTGCGATCACGTAGCACATCATTATATACCAGCTAGCCCAACTTAAGTAAGCCTACAAAAGTCACTGCTGTTTAGTTTTCTGTCTCCATTTATGTCAGAATGGATAGCAGAGCTGTACGTCTTAATTTGTTTTGGAAATCCCTCAGTCAGAGCATGCTATATTATATTTAGATTGAAGCCAGCGAGCTAAATTCCTGCTAACTTTTAACACCGGTAAATTTCATAAATTTGGTTTTCATGGATGCCTGGATGTGAAACTTAATTGTTACACCTGGTAAAGCAGCAACACTGATCACTTTATTACAGATGAAAGGATTTAGACAGTTTTTAACTCTCAGTGATGCCGCAGTAATCATGTGACTTAGGGACCTGCAGCGGAGTTTGGGCACAGGGAGGAGCATCCCATAAAATGACACATATATATAAAAATACGCTTGATTCTTAGTACTATATATATTGTAGAATATATATTGCATAAAATTGTACGGCCCGATTCAGGGGCATCCTTTCTGTGAAGACAGATGGCTGCTCTCACAGAGAGGTCTGGCGCTGTAAACTTGTAATTCCAACTGCCGAAGCAAATTGAATCTTGTTAAACAACCAGTACTTCTTTTGAAGAAATTGAACACGGCACACTGAAATACAAAACAAAAAGCAAAAAGAGACTGGACGCTCACTACTAGGAAAACTAAACTCGGAAAACAAACACAGAGAGAGGCTCAAACATCGAGTGACAAACTGATGATCCAGCGAGGACAAAGGGGAACTGACACAATGTATACACTTGAGCGCGAATAGGAAAAGTGGAGACACACGGCAACGCAGCAGTGACAAATCAGGCATAACGAGACAGGGGGAGCAAAATTTGGACACAATGCACATGAGACAAGGACTAACAAAATAAAACAGGAAGTAGTATGAACAAATGAACTGACACTAGGACAAAAAACATGTGACACGCTGAGGAGACAAGGATGAAACACAAGGAGAGGAACAGGTAAGGAAGACGAAACAGGGACACGACTAAGACTCAGAGCGAGAGACAGAGGGAGACAGAGGGAAAGAGGAACATGGAGGGAGAGGGAGCAAAAGTGAGGCAAACTCAATACTAAACCATACCAAACTTGAAAGAATCATGAATACAAAAATAAAAACATTTCTAGAGATCTGCAGACCACTGATTGGCTGGTCAGTGGCGTCCCTCGATGAGTCATGAGAGCATCTCATTCATGAAACAGACAGGGGGAGCAAAATTTGGACACAATGCACATGAGACAAGGACTAGCAAAATAAAACAGGAAGTAGTATGAACACATGAACTGACACTAGGACAAAAAACACGTGTCTGGAGGATAACATGTATTGTTGATAATGCACAATGCAAC